ATTCTGGTCGTCAGAGCTTAAACTAATCCCTATCATCGTCCTTGTTTCTTTGACACATTATGTTGGATCGATCTGAACATTTTTAGTTTCTTTTTATCTTGTTTTCTTCAAATATAGATGTCAAAAAGATTAGGGCCCGCATAAAGAATGCTTATTTTCTTTTTACTAAGATTCATGTTGTAAAATTCCCCCAAAAGTCTTCACAATAAGATATTTAAAAATAAAAAAAAATAGAAACGATACATAGTTGCAAGTATGTTCGGAAAACTTTCAGCGCTATCGAATGTGTGTGTGGATGGTAAAGTATGTCTATTTTTGATTAGATCAATTAAAATGAGCATTTGTTTTCTCTAGTGCAACCTTGAATTCTTTTTAAAACATATTTTTCAGTGCTATTTCACTTTCAAGAAGATGATTTTATTACAAAAAGAATTCGTCTTTTTTTTCTCCAAATTATCGATATTAAAGTAATTGTTGAAATCTTGTAGGCTCACCTTGAGTACATCATTTTTCACATACTTCAAATAAAGTGTCAATCAAGAGGTCAAGACTTGTGCTACAAATTCTTCTTGCATTTCAAAATTATCACTATTGACGACTTGGAAAGTATTCTTTCGGCAATATAATTGTGTGGTTCGGTATTTGATTGATTTCCGATCAATCTTCTCTGTTTTCAGAGAGTTGGAGAAAAAGTTGAAATGGTTGGTCAATTACTTCAAAACCTGTTCTTTGCTGCTTTTCTAGTTGTGTATTATTTTGAAACAGTGTGCTCTGAAGATTATAAAGCTTTTTTATCTTAAAAAACTGCATTATAAGAATCTTGAGTATTGTGTGACGCATGCAAGTAAACAATGAGTAAAGTGGATAATCATCTTCTCTTCCATGAAATAGAATTGGTCGAATAGAATCAATGAAAATTGTGGTCTCTATTCAGCATTTCTTCGTTGAACGCTATCCATAAGTTGTCCGGAACGCTTTTGGATATTTTGTTCGTTTGAATGAGAAAATTTGTTTGCATAATTAATCAATTTTTTCTTCATATATATAAAAGCTCTTGTCGATAACATTTGGCAAATAGAAGATCATCCGGATATTCGAATAAATGGAACAAACTTTTGTCATTGCTGTTTTAACTTCCTCGTCGTATTCATTGTCGAAGTCAATCGTTTGAGAGTCTCAATTGAAATATCTTCATGAGCATCAGCAACATTTACAAAACGTTATTCGACGAAATGGTAGCCGAAATCAACATCGATGGTTTCATGAAAGTAGTTACTATTCGTTAACTGTTCACAGCTCGTTTCGATCGTTATTGATTTTATTGATAGGTAATTGAATCATTGATGCTAGATTACACTGTCTAAATTCCAAACACATCAACAGAGAAATCGATTTGAATTTATCATCATCACGTCGACTTTTACATAGAATGTTCCTTTCTTTTGAGAGAAATTTTTTGGAGGGTTCAAAAAGTCACACAGATTTTGCTCGTAGTTATGCAAACGTATCATTAATTGTATGGCGTCCAGAATAAACAAATTGAGATTGCAATTAAATACACCTTTGAACTTTTTCACAAGATCACTAGCAATATCCTTGAGTTTTTGATCAATATATAGAAGTTCGTCTGCATTGACAAGATCGTTCAATGACAACTGGAATACGGAAAGATCATTGGCATGATTCATTGCCTCATTTATTTGGTTCAATGGTATTGTTCCTTGATTAGCCGAACAAAGAAAAGGCAACACTTATATCTATGATTTACTTCAAAGCTTATGATAAATACAAATATTTTGTTTCTTACCCGCTAACAGCCTAAAATATATAAGGTGACAACAATCACCCTGACTTTCATCTAGGTTTGATAGTTCCAATGCAATCACGCTACATGTTGTTGTAAAAATAGACTTTGTCGTAAGAGTATTTCCTTGTTTTTTTTTGAATTTTTTTGATTCTCGATGAGAGTACAAACAATCGCTCTGAAGTTTTCAACATAGATAGAACACCTCAAATAAGGAAACATGTGTTCACGCAAGCAAGTTATAAACGAAGTTTTTCATAAGACTAAACTTACTCACATTATCATTCCAGCATATTTTTTCGGATTGGCCTGAAAACTTTTTCATAGACACTTTAAAAAATTCTGTTCAGATTCGATTGACCATTTTCATTGCTGACCTTCCTACTCGAATCTACAGAGGTCTAAATGCCAACGCTCATATTAAGGATTTGAACCTTCATGTATGTCTTCTTCAAAAACAAAAACAAAGAAACCGATATTTTTCAAAAGTTTTGTACTTCTCTATTTAGTATGTTTAGTACGGATAACAGATTCAAATGTTTTAAATAATTTAATCGAGAAAATTTAAGAATAAAACTGACTAAAAGGTTATACAGGTAATTACGTATGACTTATCTCTTCAGCTGCAATGTCACAATGATAGTTTTCCCTAGCTTGAAATAATATAATCTGGAAAGGGAACTTCATCTATGCCTTTCTGGAATTCAACATCGTTTAAATGACTATGAAGCATTGTGACAAAGAACATCTAGCTATTATTGTTCGCTACACATAGTGCAGTCGATGAGATTCTACCAATTTCTTTTTTTTCTCTGCTTAATTCTATAGCATTTCATTTTAGATGATATATGCCAGAAAAAGTAACGTAGCATGCTAAAGGAAAGCAAAGATGTACACTCGAGTGTACAACATTGTGTATAATTTTCTTTTTCCACGTCATGGCCTATTACTATTTTTATCGTACATTATCAGTGATGAAACGATGTAGAACCATCTAGAGAAAAAAAAAAGCGGATAGAATCCTATCGACTGAAGTACGTAAACGATTTGATGTAATCTCCTTCTTTTTTTTTCTCTATATAACATTACACTGTCTTCGTTGACGATGTATAAAAGAAATAGTAATCGAGTATAATAAAGGAAAAGAAAGATTACACTTTTGTTTACAATGCTGTATACAATTTTCTTACATTTTGCCATGACTCATTATTATTGTTGGTAAAGAAGAAGTCAATATAGAACGTTTATTTTTTTTATTCTAAATGGCGCAACAGATTTCATTCGATTTTCGACTTCTGCTTGTCGAAGAAAACGATCAACTTTCAGATGATGAGCGGAAAAAACTACACTTTTTATTTCATCGTATTGTTCCGCGCGGTATTCGAGATGATCACACTCTGGGAGGCACCCTTCAATTGTTCGAGACACTGCTCGATCGAGCATTGATGAGTGAGACAGAATTTGACATCTTAATTCGAGCTTTTGATGGAATTGGAAATCGATATGCTGCTCAACGTCTCAAAGGTAAATATCTTCTACTGTAAATGGATAGAAAATGGAGACAACATGTTCCAAATTACCTCTATTTTTAGAGCATCAACATTTGTTGCGACAGAAACCAAAGCAAGGACCGGAAGCGAATTCGGAAGATAAATCGCAAAATTCATTGTTGCCAACATTGATGTTTGACACTATTGAAGATAACGATGAAGAGGATAAGCCACAAAGTAAGTTAATACCAGTTTATCGATAAAAATATTCTTGTCAACTTCATTTATATTAAACAAGCATGGCCATTGGGAGACAGCCACTTCGATAGAATAAATCATGATGCCGAAACAAAAAAACCTATCACATCATTGGAACAATCTACTAGCAATAGAAATGAGACGTTTTCAATTCAATGTAATTATATAACGCAATTTATACATGCGAAAGGGCTCAACAGGAGCTCTCTGAAGTGCATTATGATTTCGGCTATGGTACTCGTGCTCATTGTTAGTTTTTCAATCTTGATCGCTCAGAAGCCTTGGTCAAAGAAAAGCAAACAAAAATTTGCTCTTTTGCCTTCGAATTTGTCAACTACTGAGCCGAACCCAACACATTCATCTTCATCTTCTACACTGTCATTCTCGAACAAAAGTATGTATTCCCCGCTATATACTATATCTGTAAGAAAAATCACAGGCGAATAAAGATAACTTCATACACAAAATTTATTTTCATTCACTACATATTGATACAAACTTCATTATCCTATCAGTCAGAGTAGCTTGAACTGAAAATATAACATATTTAGATCTTGTGATGAATTTAAACGTACTCGAGAAGTTTTCTGAGTCACACATTTAGGCATCATTTTTAACAAATAGCAGTTCCTTCAGCTTTATTAAAGGTGCTTATTTCATGGGCTCAATTGATATTCAACCGAAATAACTTCTATGATTGGAAAACATTCGTAGAAGTTGTTGACTTTTTTTTATTATATTAATACTTTTTTTCGAATTCTATGAAGATAGAGCTAGAATCGAGTCTCTCTTCGTCACGAAATGTTTACTCTTAGTAATATCGAAAGAATTACAATAATTATAAGTATATATTCTACATATAAACAACAACTTTAATGATTCAAAAATATTCCTGTATATAACTGATACAAAACTGAGGAAAAAGAAATATAGTTCGAAAAACTTAGGAAAACAACAAGCAAAAAAATGAAATATTACTTTTGATCTAATCTTGCGATCTAAGAAACACTATCACTGCATAGTTTACATGCGTTTAGAAGTTGTTGACTAGTTTTATACGACTATTAGACCTGTGTTACGCATTGTCCCGAATACGAGGTGTTCGTACTAACGAAGACAACGCTCCCTAATTTAACATCAAAAACTTTCTTAGAAATTACTAAAACAATTCGAGTGGTAGCATCTGCTCACAGATGTATTATCCTCTACATTTTGCACTTGACTCCAGAGAAACAACCATAGAGTACTCTATACATTGGGCAATTCGTAGCGAATAAATTAAACCGATGATGTCACTGATGACTGAACTAACAAGTTACGAAGAAAGAGTTTCTTCCATCAAATCAATATTCTTCTAATACCTTATCCAAAATTTGAGGCACAAGCACCCAACGAAAATCCAATTTCTTCCCTTGAATACAAAAATAAAACTTGAAAGTCACTCTTTTTTACACAAGTGTTAGTCTTTCTCGATTCCTTCCATTTTTATTTTATCTAGCATGCGATCACACGTCGTCACTTCAACAATTAATTGAAAGCCGTCGAGATGATCCAAACGGCATTTTCAATGACAATATCGTAAACGATGCAAACATCTGTCTTCTTGCCGAAGAGTCTCGACGAAATACTCATAGATGGCATACATTGAACTTGTGGAACAACAATATAGGACCCGATGGAGCTGTTTATATCAATCAAATTCTACAAAATTCAAAACTTACCTCTCTTCACCTTGGTAGAAATTACTTGAGATCGAAAGGCTTAGCGAAACTCAATGCTCTTAACAAGCATCATTATCTAACCGAACTTGATTTATGGGATAATAAAATCGATGACGAAGGTATCGAAGCTTTAGCCACACTGCTTCCGACAACAGTTCTTCGCAAATTAAATCTTGGTACCAATGATATTGGAGATAAAGGATGTCAAGTTCTCTTTGCTAATCTTCCTCGGTCGTTGATTGATCTAGATCTCTTTTCAAACAGGATTTCTGAAGCATGTCTTCAATCAATCTTGGAAGCAATTCCAAAATCCAGGCTTCAGAAATTGAATCTACAACATCAACAAGTTGATCGTTGGAGTCAAAAGAGCCAAGAAGACTTGAAACGTGTTGGCCAATATAACTCATGTCAAATTATAATTTAAGTACTACTGATAGGCTATTTAATCATCTACTTGAATATTTTGTACATTTTTTTTGATCGGCATCAATAATAAATAAGGTGATGTGCTTCGCAGTTGTGAAAAGACACAGAGAAATTGTCTTTTTACTAGTCTATAGTCTTAGTATGTTTTTAATCGGAATTCTCGATTGTATTCAAAAGTAGAAGAATCTAAGATTTGACTACCGGTGTTGAGTTCTTTGGCAGACAATATCGAATAAATTGCATTTGTTGAGAACTCCGTCGCAAGTGGTCCACATAAAGTTCAAAAGTGTGAACGAGAGATGAGTCTCCGACAATTCATATCGATACACTTTCTCTCAGCATAAAATTTAGTTTTCTTATGTTGCAATGAAAATAGGTTGCTAGATACCAGTACGATTATAATACACTTGATTCGACGGTGTAGTATTATAGTGGAATAATATTCATCAGATACTCGCGAACTTTAGTGTAGAAATTGTATTTCTGCTCTTTTTGTCAGTACAAAGTTAAAACCCTAAGTGACTATCAATATTTTATAATTGCATTCGAACAAACAATAGTAACAAATATGCTTCAATATTCTTCATCGCAGTGCATTCCTACAATCAATTATTTTTATCAAACAATATGTGGTTTCGAAATAGTCTGCTTTACACTGTTAGAATAGTTCTCAATCATCGAACTACGTGAAACAATAGTTAACAATCGTAGTTGTAGATGATGTATTTCACTATGATTCCACATATATTACTAATCGGTCCTCAAACTGTTGTGTTGAGACAAAATTGAATGAAAACATCATTAGTTGAGAAACCTTTTACTTTGCACCAGTTTTCGCTCAGTCACACGTGGTGAGTACTGAGCAAAGTTTAAAGAGAAATATTGTATTTGATCTAAAATAGCTTTCAATCTAAGTTTGAGGATAAACCTTTGGCAAAATGGCAAATTTGTGAGAAGTGTATATTGCAGCGAAAAGTCCTATAATCTCACGAAGCTAAAATCTGTACATTAGTAACATGTGATATTTCTCTGGTGGGAAATACCCAGCAAGATATGCGTATTTGATTGATATTTACTTGCTGAAAATGTATAATAGGAGATTTCCCAGTCCGAAGTTTTTTCCCCTCTTTTTCTTTTCTATGCGTCCTGTTGTCAGTTACTGTGACATATATAAGAAACAAGTAACCGCGTTGCGCAGTATGCATTTCTATTTTCTATAGCTATTCTATACGTAGTACATCGCATATGGCTACACATTTAAGCATCCATGTTACCTTGTTGCTCATAGTATACTTCTACGTTTCAGTAGATGCAATGATGTCAGGTATTTTTAACTCACATACTTCATTTACTCGTGTACAAGATGTAACGTTCACTACTACAGCATACATAGTCTTCAATCGTTACTATTGCACTCTCTTTGATGCTATCAAATCTGATATAGTGAGTCAGCGAAGACATGTATTACAGACTGTGTAAAGTCTAATGATGATGTTTCAGTTTGCACTAACTCGAGAGTAAAACGAATAAACACACAAGGTTTCTTCCAAATCTCTTTTATGTAGGGTAGGCCACGATACTTTTAGAAAAATTCACTTGAGACTCGATCATGCCGTAAAAATTTCTGACCATATGGAGGAAGAATAATCTCGATTTCAAAGTAAAATCCAAAGCTGACTGTTCCTTTTTTATTTGCTACTCCTGTACTGAGTTATCGTTTATTTGCATAGTTCACTATCGCACGTCGCCACTTCAACAATTAATTGAAAATCATCGCGACGATCCAAACGGCATTTTCAATGACAATATCGTAAACGATGTAAACATCTGTCTTCTTGCCGAAGAGTCTCGACGAAATACTCATAGATGGCGTACATTGAACTTGTGGAACAACAATATAGGACCCGATGGAGCTGTTTATATCAATCAAATTCTACAAAATTCAAAACTTACCTCTCTTCACCTTGGTAGAAATTACTTGAGATCGGAAGGCTTAGCGAAACTCAATGCTCTTAACAAGCATCATTATCTAACCGAACTTGTTTTATGGGATAATAAAATCGATGACGAAGGTATCGAAGCTTTAGCCACACTGCTTCCGACAACAATTCTTCGCAAAT